CGCTCACTGCAAGGCGTGCTGGGCCACGGGAAGGCAAGGCCTTCACACTTCAATTCGTTGGGTCACAAGTTCCACAAGAGGACTCCGAGGCCTCCTGACCGTTCACAGCACTGTAGTCAGCTGCTTCCTCCTCCTCCTCAGATCGCTACAATGGACTACGTCATATTGCATCACTGGCCAAGGCTTATTGAAGGGGCACAAACTTGGCATGGAATGACCTAGTCAAACCCCTTGCCGTTGCCTCCGCGTCATCCGTCACTGCGGTACTTTTGATTCTGCCTTGAGCTTCGTGTCGGTCCTCAATCTAAAGGACCGGACAAGGCAACAAGGTAGAAAAACCTCGAAAGGACCGGACGTCGAGAGGAAAGTCAACGGAGGCATTGAGATCGGCCAGAAGTGCTTTGGCCATTCTCTGCGCCATGTCCTGGCCAAGAAGCCAAGCGGACCTTTCAAGGCTTGCTAGTTACATGGCCGAGATGGCCTGCCAATCTTCGCCAGGGCCCTCCATTTCAACCTCCAGAGTCAATGTCGTCGCTCTGATTTGCCTTCTTCTTCCACTCCAAGATTTGTTGGTTCATGCGATGTTTAAAATGCCATTCAGGCCCTGCCTCGAACATTCGCGGAGGTGACTGTGGATCTGCATCTGCAGGAGAATTGAACGTCATTACAATTCAAGATTGAAAAAAAATCACCTCACAATTAAAAAAAGACAATATAAACAAAGCTACGTTTTTGCTCGCCCCCAGTTTCGTGGTTTTGCATAAGCCCGACCCATTTTTGTGGTTGCGTGACGGCTTTGGGGCATGAAGTCTCATAACATCGACGCTAAGAGGATTGGTGGTTTTGGGTGTTTGATTTGTCAGAGGTGTTGGGTGCCTTGCACTTGCCGAGCTTTGTGCGCACAAGCAACATTCTTCAGGACAGGAGCTTCCAGCCCCAAGTGCATCAGTGCTGCAAGCAACATCCGAGGGAAACCGTGTCCCGTGTCTTTCTTGCTCAAGTGTGTTGTTGTGTTGCATTGGAGAGAGGCAGCTGCTTGATCAGTCCCTTGCCGGGCTTTGAAGACGGGCCCCATCCTCTTCAAGAGTCAGTGACCGATGACCTCTGACCTGGCTTGCTCAAGACTCGGGTACATAATTTGTATGTTTCGATGCATTCGCTCAACTTCGCACCCATCCTGAACTCAATTCACAGAATCCACCCCGCATCTTCAGCGATGGCAACTGTAGTTTTGCCTCTGTATGCAGTCAATCCGGATTGCAAACCACACTGCGGTGAAGCATTGCAAAATGGAGTTCACTCGATATGCGAAGCTGACTGCGGATGTGGAGACAGAGATTGCAGCGCAAGGTCAGCGAAGTTACGGGCACACAGGCCATCGACAATTTTGCGTCGGTCGGTCTCCATTTGTGGAGCTGTATCGATGCCTTCCAGTTTCCGTTTATAGTGAGTTTGGATTTTGTGGAGGGCAGTTGAGGACTTCGCACAACAAGAGTGCCGATGAAGAACCGCTGATGCCAAGCACTGCCAAAAAGAAACAAACGAACGGCAATTTACAAAGAAAGGTCGCATTTTACACAGCAGTGTCAAGGAGCCCAGTCTGGCCCACCTTTCTTCTTGGAGCTAATGACAGAAAGTCATTACATTGATCCACTGATTGCACTTGTCAGCACAGCAACTCACATACAAATACCTTCATTGGCAGTGGCACCTGTGCGTGGTGAGGGGCCAGTTAATGCCCATATTCACATTCACGAAGAAGACTCATGACCACATCCATGACAACCAACATCAACACGGCCCCCACCCCCTCCCCCAACACCCCAACCATCCATTTCATAGCAGTTCATATTGAAGTGGAAGGCCATGTGATCAAGTCGATGGGATTGGATGATATACTTGTGTGATCATGTGACGCAACCTGCAACTGCTGATGCTGATGCTGCTGGTGCTGCTGGTGGTGCTGGTGGTGGTGGTGCGGTAGAAACAATGTGATGCAACTGATCATACTGATAACTTGTGCCACTGTTGCGCCTACACTCTCCCCTGCGCCTGAAGGTAGACAGGAAACACTGCAAACGCCACACAGATTTGCAGTCAGAGGGCTCCAAAAAGTGAAAACTCCGGGCACATACAGCAACTTCGGCATAGACAACCAGGCGAACCGGGCAGACATGGCCTGAAAAGACCATTGCACTTCGTAGCAGCAAATGCTGGTCAGGCCTTAGTCCCCCATCCATGAGGTTTCACAGATTCAACGGATCAGCCCTCGGATAAATTTGATGGCAGTCTTGCAGCCACTTTTTCGAATCACCTCCATGTTCTCGGCGATCCAGATTTGGTCAAGCTTGGCAAAACCAAAACCCTTTGTGTAAAAGAGCCAGCATTTTTAGCCAGCTCATCGGAATCCTTGGCTTTAAGCAAATAATCACTCTGAAGCAATCCGCTCAGTGCAAGTCACCAGTATATAATATATATATATATATTGGGTGTTGCCTAATAGCTGTAACAGTGAGCACAAACCAGAGCACCATTTTTGCACGGTGAAAAACGTCAAAAAAAACACTCCCACCCAACCAAGGGATGCGATTCTTTTTAGCCCTGGCTAAGCAAAGCTGTCCATAAAGTCACGGCCTGCCAGGAGTCAGGTTGGTCAAGAATTACCCTACACTTGTCCCAAGGTGCAAGAGTTCTGGCACAACTTTTACAAAAAAACAAACGCACACGAAACCTTTTTCTGCCAACAATTGGTGCTGCGTGTTTGGGCTTTCCAAGGCGAGGGCTTCAAAGAGTGGTTGAACACAGACGATTACTTTGTTGAACTCATGATGAAAGAACATACATGCTGTCTTTTGTTCTTGGTTGTTCTTACAGTCTTACTTACATGTTACAACCTTGCGTTCCCTCGCTTGGGTTAGATCCCTAGACCTTTTTGGTCTGTCAAATCTGAGCCAGCCAAAATCTGAGCCAGCCACTGCCAAACAAAACATTGGTTGACTAGAGGTTGTGTTGGGACTGGCTGGAAGCAAAAAGAACTAAAAAAGAATAGCATCAGCATCAACATTCCAAGAAGAACCCAAAACTGTCATCATCAACACTTCTTTCACAACATTGAGGAAATTTAGCTGAAAGACAAGTAGTCACACGGGCCGGTAGAGCTGGACTTAGCAGATCTGACACTCGGCAATTGGAAATTGCAAAGACGCACTTCCCACAACTGCAAAAAAACGCTTTGAGAGAAGCAGGGAGCACACGTGGCAGGCTGCAGCCAACTGAAGATCCCCTGCCCAACAACAACACAGGTTCTTTTACTTTGACCTATTTTTCCAAGAAGGGCTGCAGGTTGCCACAGCACCACCTCAGTCCACTGTGCTCACGCAGTGGCTGCCTCCAGCCACTGCAACAGTGCTTTTGAAACTGTGACGCGTTGCGCTCAAGCGTCTTGCGACACCTCAGAAAAAGAAAAGAACATGAATGCGTTCACATGGACCACGCAAAAGAACCACAGTGCAACTCGCAATCTCCACGAAACGTTGACTCTGCTTGCGCGCGCGCTGTGAAAACATAGTTGCCAGAGAATCGCTGGCTGGGTCCCTTTGATGCCAAGATGCTCGCGGCACAATGCCGAGCGCTCCACTCGGTTCCTGTTGGCAAAAAGCGGTGGAACAGGAGGTTGAGGCCGTGCACACTTGACGCGTATACCTTCACTTTGACCTGGCCACACTGACTCCAGCCAATTGTCAATTGGCAATCTATCCAGAGCAGCACACGCACCCTGGAAGTCCTCCAGGGATCCCACACAAGCCTCGTCGGGACAAACACTCCACAGCTTAAGACAACATTCGAGTGGCGCTAGCTAGCATCAGAATACTTCTAATCCAGCCAGGAAGTTGTCTGCATCTGAGGAGCGGTCTAGTTTCTCCAGGGGGGCCTTTGCCAAATTGGTGGTTTCCCATGCGCTCGTGACCAGCTTGTCACGAGACACAAACAGTGAGGTTTGCTGGTCTTTCGTCAGCCTGGAAGCAGAAATTCGTGAATTATATCTATTTTTTATCTGTTATCTGTGAATTGAAACATGGTTCCTTTTTCTATTTACCAAAAACGAAAGAGAAACTTTCACAAACAATGAGAAGACTGACTGGAGGAAGTGACGCAACAAAAGTCTGCCTCCTTATCACTGGTTTGCAACCCTCACAACTAAGAATGAAGATGACTTGGCGCTGTGACTGCAGGCAGGTAGCGACACAGCTCCTGAGTCCAGCACCTGCTGGAACAGGCACCTATTCACCTCTTCCACCTTCTGCTCCCAAGCATCTTTCAGTCCATGGAAGACCTGCCAAACAAGAAACAATTAATCATTGAAGGCGTCCTCATTTTGCTGGCTGGGCAATCTGCACCATTCTCATTTTGGACACCTAAGGCCTGCTGTGGAAACTCTGCACCGGCCTTGAACACCTGAAGCTGCTGGCCAGAAGGAGCTGTGAAGGATTCTGCTTGGATGCCATCGTCAGCAGGGTCCCTGCCATACTGTTGGTGATAGGTCTCTTTTGTGTAGATGCGCACGCCTCCCAACGACGTCAATTTCACCGGGACTTCTTTCTCCTGCAACACCAACCTGAGAACGGTAGGCCAGCTAATTGCGAATGGGCAGAACGACCACACAATGACGTCTTGAGTGGTTTCAGGGGCTTCTCCAAACTTGAAGGAGGTCCAATATTAATTCAAAAGTTGCGCGCGCCTAGGGAAAAGCAATTGACAATTGACCAATTGATTTGCCGCAAATCGCCTGTTTGTTTCCTCTCCTCTCCTTTTCTTTTTCCTTTCCTCTCCTTTTCCTTTTCCTTTCATCTCCTCTCCTTTTCCTTTCCTCTCCTCTCCTCTCCTTTTCCTTTTCCTTTTCCTGTTCCTTTTCCTTTTCCTTTTCCTTTTCCTTTTCCTTCCTTTCCTCTCCACTCTTTTTCCTTTTCCTCGTCCTTGTCCTTTTTCCTTTTCCTTTCCTTTTCCTTTTCATTTCCCTGTTCCTTTCCTCTCCTCTCTGGTTCATTTTCCTTTTCCTTTCCCATCCTCTCCTCTCCTTTCTCTTTTCCTTTTCCTTTTCCTTTCCTCTCCTCTCCTTTTGCTGAGCCTGCGGTGCCTCTCAAAGGCTGTTTTGCTTCTTCTGGTGGCTATCCTGGCTATCCTGCTGCTTCTGGTGGCTGGCCTGGCCAAGGCTGGCCTGGGCAAGGAAACGAAAAAGAAACAATCGGAGATGTTTTTTGAGAGGATGGAATGTTTACTGGGAGCGTCTGCCAGCTCCTGCACTAACAGTGAGCACGGAGGGCGCGGCAAAAAAGCACGAACCAAGGCACCATTTTTGC